CAGTTTGACATGAAGGATGTTCAACTGCGTTCAGATTTTAAGTCCTATGTGTCAGGTAAGTCACTTTATGTAAGGCTTAACTGTAATGGCCTTGAAGGTGAAATGACTTGGCGCGCCTTGAAATTTGAATTGACCAATCAGGATTCCGTATACGGGAAGAACTGTTCTGTCCTGACGTCATGTATGTTACAATGTTACAGGAAAGGCCTAGATGTTGGGTAACTTTTCTTACTGAAGACGAAGGAAAAGAATTGTGATTTATCTCTTCTTCCTGTCTGTCAAAAATCAAAGTTTGCGCGCTTTCACATTGTATCATATCCTGCTAAATGTCGTGAGAGGTCCATGTTGTGCACGTAAAAAATGGGAGAGAATCAGGGAGTTGAAAGTAAATATCCCGTAGTATATTTATATTTATTTTTAATTTTTTTCTAAAACCAAAAATAAAAATGACTACTCTACACTGCAAAACCCCCTTCTTTTCGTCTATTACTCTTCGAGGGAACCTTTTTCAGACTCCCCAACCTCTCACCCTTCCCAACCCGTTCGGCTAGTCCCTTTCCCTAATCCTTATTCATGCCGCTTGCACTCCTCGTTTTCCTCCCATCCAATTCTCTCCCTGAGCACTCAGGATATATTCCCCCCCTTTTTTTCCCATTCTAGCCCCATTCTACCCCTGACTATCTCCTAATTTTCCCATGTTATATCCCTTATTATAGCTCCCCCTAACTCTCCGAGTGGTTCTTTCCCTTTCCCTTATTATTTCCCTAATTCACCCAGACTCCGCGATTTTTTTTTTCCTTTTTTTGTTTTTTTTGTTTTTGAGATAATTTCTTTTTGACATTCCCCACCAGGGCTCGAACCTGCGACCTCCCGCTCTGAAGTGAATCCCCTTATCCACTACACCACGTCTTACTTGGTTGAAATCTTACATTAATTTTTATGGTATAATAAGTTATTCGTCCCAGGCCCAACTCTACCCAAAATCCAAGGAAATTAATATTTCGAAGGCAATTCTTTGATCAAGGGCTAGGTTTTCTTTTACCTTTTAAAAACTTCTTTAAAATAAAGACACGATTACTTTCGTAAGGAAACGGAACATTTCAGTTTTCTACCAGTTTCATTTCCATACGGTTAATCAAATTGCTGCCTCGCTCTGCAGGAAATTACACCCTACTTGTGGTGACTTTCAACTTTAAACGACGCATCGGCTATTACATCAATCAAGTCTATGTCCCAGACACCCTTGTGGTCGCAATCAGTTGGATTGTGTTTTGGTTGGATCCGGACGACATGGGTGGCCGAGTAGGACTGGGCATTACTACTCTTCTTACTATAATGTTTCTGCTGGGTTCTGTTAATACGGCTCTTCCACGAGTCAGTTATACCAAAGCTATCGACTGGTATTTGATCGTCTCCTTTCTGTTTGTGTTTCTTGTGTTATTGGAATGTATTCTGGTGTACATATCGCGTCCGAGAACTAAACAATCCAAAAATCAAACTGGAGACAAGTCCGCAGATCTTGAGGGAGGCATGACAGAGGTAAGAACACTGGAGGGGATCTAGTTCACAAGGCTACTGGCTTGTTATTGCTGATGATTACGTTTAGTCCACTCCACCGTTTCAAAGCGTAGGCGTTGGGACGATTTACGCACACAGTGTGCCCCAGCCTTCACCGCAGGTCATGGGAAATAACCATAATGCTTTGCAGTTCTCGCGAAAGCAGGTGATAAAGAAAGGCCAACTGAACTAAATGAAGGTCAAGCTATGATAAATTGGCTCTGAGGAAGAAGCTAAGCGAACTGCAATATACAATAATAGTATAATCACTTTGTTAATACCTGCCCTTTCTTTTAACCTATCTCAGTCCTAAGAAAAATATCATTCAGTTATATTCGTATTTAAGACTCTCTTTCACGCGGTCGCTGCTATATTACTTTTTACAATAACTGTCTAATTTCTCGTGCGCTGATTGGCCCATTTTTATCGTCAATGTAAGCACAGACGGAAAAAATTTTGATTTATGCACGCTCTCAAGTTCAACTTTCAGCTGTCAAACTGTCGACCACTTGCCTGCGGCTCGTGGTTCCTCAGCCACTTTGACAATGTTATGATGCAATTTATCATCAGTAAGAGGACAGACGCATAAAAAACTGACGTCACTTTGTTAATTTGATTTTGGGCTCAATGAGCAATGAGTGCCAAAAAAATCGTAGCTATCAGTTTTTTGTTTTGTTTTGTTTTGTTTTGTTTTGTTTTGTTTTGTTTTGTTTTGTTTTGTTTATATAGTTTTGGCTTACGCGTCTATCGCTTGTGTTACAGATGTCACGTATGAAGGAAGACGAATATGAAGTGAATTTCGTTAAGAAACGAGGATTACTTAACTTGGAGAAGATTTTAAGTAACAGCGAGCCAGCAATTCCCCGGGACAATAATGGCGCTATGCCATTTCTACCGGAGAACAGGAATGACAATGAGATGGCTGACAGCGGACAAGAACAGGATCCGCTAAAGTTCAAGAACAAAGGACATCGAACCTCGATTGCCAAAGCTATTGACTATGTGTCGCGTGTTCTCTTTCCTTTTGCCTTCATTTCTTTTAACATCTTTTATTGGTATCACTTTTTGAATGCCATGTAGATTAAAATGTCTTGATAGCTGCCAGACTGTTTTCTGAAACAAAAGGAAAACAAGCTGGACCGTAATTTGCAATCAAATATCCATTTCAGAAGTAGTCCTGTCATAGATTATTCTAATTGTTCATTTATTTAAAAGAGAAATAAAAAACGGCTGAAACTGGATCAAGACAATGGTCTCGCAGTGATTTCATAATTTCACCAATAACGGTAGAAACGCGTTGATTCATACATTCGGTCCTTTGTTCGTCCGCTTTGTCTATTTGTTTGTTTGATCGACTGAGTGATTGCAGCCGGCGGGGCCTTGGAAATGAAGGAAACAAAGGTTGATTCTCGCTATTGTAACACTGGTCTCCTTCTTGAAAATATCCACTGGTAGGTCCCTAACTAAAACTGTTTGACTGCAGCAACTATCTACAACCCATCAAGAAGTTTTAAACTGGCTTACGAGGAGACATTTTCGGTGAATTCCTCCGTAATGAAACATATACATGTACATGCTCCTACGTTTAAAAAGCAAGAATTGTCGAAGCACTAATGCAAGGGTTTCAGTAAGAGATTGTTATAACAAGTGGATATATCTGACAATGAAACCAGGGTTGAATCCTGTGTTTTCAGAGTCTCCCTTTCCTGGCGCCAAGGCCCCGCCGGCTAAGAAAGACAGGCTGCCCTGGGACTCAACTTGAATTTGCATTGCAAATAATTCTTCGCTCCTTTTGCTTTGCACGAGGCGCTTGAAAGTTCGATTTTCTTCCTTCAAACGTTGCCTAATGCCTTGTCTATATTACGAGAAATGTTCCCAAACGTGTCCTAGACACAAAATTTTGCCGGTGGGACAAATTGGAGGGAAATTCGCTCAATTCAAGTGCCAGAAACGGCAAGTGAGCTCAAGATATCACTGATGTGTTGTCTTTGACCATCCTAGTAGGTATGTACAAGGAAGACTTTACGTTTTATTGCTACTTTTGAGTCTTTAAACGGTTGAAAAGATTTTACATGCTTTGAGACGTTTATTTAGCCAAAATAAGAGGCAGGTACAAAAGTCGGAACGGATCAGCTCGGACCGCCAGTCCGGGTCGGATCAACTCGGATCGACTCGGATCGACTCGGATCGACTCGAATCGTCTCGGATCATGAAAAGAGCATAAAATTAAATAAAATTGAAACTTTTACCCATTTGAAGGTTAAAATTCCGGTCAAAAATGAGCCAAATTAAAACGACTTGCGACGTTTCTCCGTCTCGTGCTGTGTAGTCAAGCCGTCATTTTGTATTCTAAGTGCCAGACCCGACCCGGACTGGCGGTCCGAGTTGATCCGGTCCGACTTTTGTAGCTGCCTCAAAACAAGTCGATATCTCGTGAATTAAAATCTGGGCAAAATTAAATCTTAGGGCCGCGGAATGTTTATATGTAAGCTTATATGTAGTTCAGCGGTTTATTACAGTTCTTTCGTAAAGGAAATTAAAATCTTAGATGGTTTTAGGTCATAATTTCACAATTGTCAGCTTACTTTGATGGCGGTCAGGTTTACTTCTTGCAACTAGCGTTGTATAAAAAGCCATATCTAGGAAAATTTGCATGGTTAGTCTGTAATTAAAGGTAGGGTGGTTGGGGGAGAGGGGGGGGCTTACCCTACATGTATTTGGGACTGAAATCTATGATTTTTCCTGCCCTATTTATGACCTGACCAAAAATTCGATACCCAATATAAGACCTTACCCTTAAGTCAATACCCTGTTTCAGACCTGTCTTATAATTAGTTTTCTAGTTCAGACCAATGTTAAAGGATTGTGAGGGGCTTTTGTTGATGCGCTTACTTGTAATACTATTGATAATGAAGAAAGAAGTAGCTTCTTCTTTAAAAAAAAAGAAAAAAGAAAAAAAAAACATACCCAGATCAAGACTACAGTGCAAAAACCATACCAATATGAGACCAAAATGGCCAAAATCGATACCTTATTTCTGACCAAAACAGCCCAAAAAACCATACCGTTTGGGGCTGCACGTACCTATATAGTCCTTGTTCCCTGGGAGGGTACAAGCTTCTAAGCTTTGTTTATTATAAGTCAAATTTTTAAAAATGAAACAGGAGTTTATAAAAAGTGACCTACATGTGTATCTGCACTGCTGCGTTTTGACAGTCAGTTTTACTTTCAGATTTTCTGTCTTAGCCTTGGAAATTATTAATATTTTAATTCAGTTCTTATCAGTAGCAGAAAGTGATGGGAAATGGCTTGTGCATGTAACCTGGGCAAAGAGCCCCTGGTTTAAAATTTGGGAAGGACTATAATTACAGTAGATCAATAATGTTGTGGGAGGGGGATACATTGATTTTAACTAGACCACAGATAGTCACTCTTTCACTCCCACCTATTTCAATGTAAACAGTCATTAGTTTGTAGTATATTTACATGTACTTGATTGATTATATTATTGATCAATTGTTTGAACACTGTGCGTATACATGTTATGTTAGATAATCTTCATGAAAAAGTATACAGTATGTCGCTTATCAAAATGTCTGTATTACTTATCAGATAAAACATGAAGAACATGAGCATAAAGTGACAGGCCTGGAATGCTGAAAGACCAATGGTGGACGTCAGATAAAGCTATTGAAAAGGTAATTTTATTTGCATGTATGGAAGTTAGCAGCTTCAAGTAAATTATTTGTAGTACCAGTTAGAGTTATTTCTGTTGAGAATTGACAAAGGGGATAACACTATTATTGAACAATGACATCATTATCTTAGTGTAAAGATCCCAGGACTCCTGTATTACAGGTGTTAAACTTATCTTGTTGTAGTGTAACAACCCACTTGAAAGAACAACTTTACTACATTATCCAGCATGCTACTGAAGGGCAACCTTCAATGCTATATAGAGCTTTTTTAATGCTATTTTCATTGTTGCATGCAATAACTTCTACTCAAAAGTGAACAGCAACTGATGGGCCTTTAATTTAATTTTTTGATTTTCATTTATTATCAGGCAAACCAAGTTGTAACAACATAGGACAACTAAGATCAATGGAGGAGTCAGATACAGCTAGATCAGGTTAGTTTATATTTCAGGTATCTGCAATCATCTTTTACATCATCATAAACTTTATTTACTGTACTCTCGAATTTAATACAGAGTAGCATTGCAGATATTCACAATTCACATTGCTTTTGTTGGCAAGAGTATGTTCATGTACACCAATAATTGTATAATTAAACTATTTTTATTAGTTTATTAGTTGTAATTCCATCAGTTGAATGTGCAATGCTAAGAAACAGTGAGAAATTGTAAGTACAATGTAACTCAACAATATATTTGTATCTCTTATCAGGCCAAACAAGAAACACATGCATGTACACGTAAACACCAACAGATCAGTGGAGGAAGTGAAATAGGTCAGTCAAAGTTTTTCTTTATAACTAGTGGACTAGTGTTTTACTATCATTTTAATCACTTAGAAGAACAGGTACAGTGTACCGTTATAGGATGGAATTCAGTCTTAAGAAATTTGGTTAAATAACACTCATCAATTGGTGTCAAGATTATGTAACTGCAACCTTTTTTGATGAGTCAAAAAGAGTTTGAAGTTCTTCGGCGTTTTTTCACAAAGTGAAAGTGGTGCTTCTTTGCCTTACTTCAAGTAGTTAATGTGTACATGGCGATCTAGTCAATTTTGAAAGATTCCTAGTTTCTTGTGAGGTTTTAAAATGTTGATCTCTGTAAACTGAACAGGCCAGTGCCCGGGCTCAAAGTAATTATGTATTCTCTGCACTTATTGTGATATTTTGGGGTGGAGAGTTTTGAAAATTTGCTTGTACAATATATCCTAGTTGCTGATTTTCTTTATATTCTCATCATTTGTCTGCTTGATAATGTATTGATGTGGTAAGGATAAAAAATATAGACAACTGACAGATGGCTCCTAAGTTTTACTGACAAATCATGAGCTATGATCTTAACATCCCTACATGCTTCAATCCCCACGTCCTAATTGACAACTGACAGATGATTCCAAATTTTAACTGACAAAATCATGTTTTGATCTCAACATCCTT